TTGTCTTTTTAAGCAGGTTTTTAATGCAGAGAAATGCCTCGAAATCCTCCTCCCTCCACATTCCTCTTAACCCTTTAGAGATTTCTTCCCCCTAACCATAGCATACTAATACTAACTTTGCAGGCTTTGCTATCATCAGCATGTCTGTGTGGTTCTCTCAAACATAAATGTAAACACTCTCACAATCACACACACACACACACACACACACACACACACACACATACCCCCCCCACACACACACACACACACAGATTCAGTGTTGGACCCCCTCCAACCAACCCGTCGCCCAAGTGTTATGTCATAAACCTATTTCCTGTGAGCATGACTTCCTTCTTATTCTTCCTCACCTCCCACATCTTACCATGTGGGTCTGACATGGTGCTCCTTTCCACCCACATGGTGGACAGCTCAAGAATTGTCAGATTTTTTTCTGCATCTGGTTCTAATATCTTGGCAATATTTGTTTCATTGTGGCTCAAGCGGATCAGTTGCACTGCATGGACGCGTCTTTAGATGTTACACTACTTGTGGTTTATTGTTGCAATGGAGGAACACTTTAAAATGAACTCAAAGCACATTTGTATTCAACAGCACAAGCATATTCTTATATTGGTATATGTATGGCTTGAAAACCCTAACGACATCCACTGTGGGTAGAGGCAGTTGTTACCTAGTTAAAAACATATTCATGCAATTTAAATTACTGTAAATTTTGAAAGGAATGCATTTTTTTCTCCACCACCAGATACTATATGCAAATGTGTCAGTACTCTCTTACACTCTGTGTGAAAGTAGATAAGCAGTCAAAGTGAAAACAGAAACAAGTGAACTAAATTAAGTTCTAGATTGATGTACCTACATAATGTAGACTTCTCAGTGTGCGTGCTTAGTTTGCTGCCAATCACTCCCACCAGAATAAGAACTTTGTTGTAATGACATGCTAAACTCACTGCAGAAAAAGAACTTCTGAAAAGGTTTTCTTTTTTTTTTAATTTTTTTTTTAATCTTTTATTGTTTCAGTTATTTATTTCTGGGCATTTTCCTCATTATAGTACATTTAGTGTTTCTCTGTTTTGTTTACTCTTGTCTGTTGTCACCAATGGAACCACTTAATAAAGACTGGACTGTTGTCAAAAATGATGGTAAAACAAACACACTGTGAGTTATTAGTAATATCATTTGTTATTCTGATCGTAATCAAAATTCAGATGATTGAATATAATTTTTCACGATCTGTCTCTGTCTTTTCTAAATTTAGAATTACTGAATGCATTTTCTCAGGTTAAATCAAAGGCCTTATTTATTGTAATACACCTTGAAAGGAAACTTTAGAACAGCCAGTTTTGATAGGTTGTAATCGTATGGTTACAAACTAAAGCACAATTATAATTCTTTCACTTTATTGTATTTTGTTTAAGATTGGAGATAAATTTCCTTTTATAGAGGCTCAGTTAAATACTGTGTTATGCATATAAAAATAATCTAATAATCTTCAGAGTCACTGTTATACAGGAAAGTCGCTGCCAACATAAACTGCATGTAGTTAATCAGAAAGATTTAGGTAACGTTGCTGTTAAAAGCATTAGATACAATCCCCCCCCAAAAAGGTTTACACATGCAAAAGGTGGAAAAACTGATTTATAAATATAATTATATAATTTATTATTACAATTTATAAATCACAGTAGAAAAAGTTGCTAAACTGAAAAGAAATGAGTACAGGAATGAGAAAACTACATTTTTTATAGATCAAGACTGAATGAAAACCAATCTGATGCAGGACTAACATGGAGAGACAAACAACCATTTACATTCACATGGAAATTTAGATCCACCGATTAACCCAACCCCACTAACTGCATGTGTTTGGATTGTGCAAAGAAGTACCTGGAGAGAACCCACGCAGACACGGGGAGAACATGCAAACTCCACACAGAAAGACCCCGGCCAGTTGGCAGAGTCGAACTCAGGGCCCTCTTGCTGTGAACCAACAGTGCTAACCTTTTTAGCATATTGTGAAATTTGGCACATTACAAAAACGTTTGGTATAACAGGATGTAGTAGAAAGAATCTAAAAAAGTCTGATTTAGGTTTCTGTTTTCAAAATTTAGAGAAGCTGTATTTTAACATTGGATTTCTTCTGTATCTGTGTGCAATATGGAAAAGGTCAGCAGAGGGCGTTCTGGATGTTTATTTTGTCAGTACACATGGCTCTTGCTGCTTTACAGCCTATCCAGCTTACAGTCAATAGTGACAGCAGGCACACAGTGGGGTTCCATGTCTGACGAAAAAGCCTTTCATGTCTATGATGGCAGAATGTTGGGTTGTGCTGGAAAGCTGTGCTACTTCAGAGTAGTCTGAGTAAAAGCGTATTTCTAAAAGATGTCCTTTCACTTTATGACGGAGTAGATCAGTACCAATGAGGTTTTTTAGCAGTATTTTTATGCACATCTGAGGCATCATTTCCCAGAGTTAATCTAAGTGTATCCTTAACTGTCATCCCACTAAATGGGCTCTATGAAGCCCCAGGAGTTATATTTTTGTTATATCTCTTTTTTCAATCTTTCAGGTATTTTATGATTTTGTCAGTTAATGTGTTTCTAATGATGCCACATCATTGCTTTCTATTTCTGCTTTGATTAGTGTTTTTTTTTTTTTTAAATACAGATGTTTTAAAAAGAACCCAATTCTGCCGTTGCAGTTTTAGCAAACTGATTTATTCAGTTATTGTTTGTCCTAAGTTAAAGTATCACATAGTATCAAGGGAGGCAGGGGTACCTGTAATGTGTCAACTTAGATGCTATTACTGCATTCATCATCTTGATGGGGAACTTCCCAGACTGGAAGTCATCAGAACATTGGAGACATTGCCAGATCTACTTGAGACAGATAGATGCCCTGGTTATGCCACACATGAAAAGGACAGCTGATGCTGTTATATTGCAAGCCACAATCCCTCCTGGGAGTGAAGAAAATTCCATCTGCCGATGTGACTGTCCAATATTTGGCTGGACAATCTACTTGACAAAGGTGTCACCTTTATCTGACGGAAGAGTGGAGTGCCCAGAACGAGGTGCTGTCCCGAGTGGAGGAGTTTAAGTACCTCGGTGTTTGTTCACAGGTGAAAGCAGAGTGAAGCAGGAGATTGACAGACAGACTGGTACAGTCTTGGCAGTGATGTGGATGCTACACCAGTCTGCTGTGGTGAAAAGAGAGCTGAGAGAATCAGTCAATTTGACGGCTAATGTGACCATACCGTCCCAAATGGTCAGGAGCTCTGTGTAGTGACTGAAAGAATAAGATCACAGATGCAAGCATCTGTGATGAGTTTCCTATGAAGAGGGTCTGTGTGCAGCCTTAGAGATATTCATTTGGATGCCGCTACTCCTTCACATAGAAAGGCACCAATTGAGGTAGTTTGGGTGACTGACTGGGATGCCCTGTCTGTGCCTTCAAGGTGAGGTGTTTTGGACATGTAAAGAAGGCCCCAGGGCAGACAGAGGACATGGTGGAGAGGTTATGTCTCTGGGCTGGCTGGTTTTTGTGTTATTTCAAGTATTTTATATCAGTTTCATCACAAAAATACAACACAAATAATGTTTACTTTATATCAAAATCAAAATATTGTTAAATAAGCTGTTAAATAACAATTTGCATTGTATTTGGAATAAAGTTACAAGTTGAATCAAAGAAAGCTATTGATTTTAATCTTTTACAAAATATGTAAATTAATTGTAAGTTTGAAAAAAAATAATAATGAAAATCATTTTTTTCTTAAGATTATATTAATTATGTAACTAATAATGCATTAAGTAGAAATAAGGTTTGTTTCTGCCACCAAGGAGGTTACATTTTTTGGTAGTGTCTGTAAACATGATATCTCAAGCATGGGGTCAACAAGCCATTAAAATTTACCTCACATACGCCGAGGTCAGCTTATAAAAAAGCCTTATAACATAGAAACTATAATTTTTACAAGTGTGGTCTAACATATAGTATAAAGGTGATTGAGATTGAGAACCTTCACAGAGATATGGCATAGAGATTCAACATATCATGTAAAATTTGACCTCTAACCTCTCCTTCAAACTCGATTGATCTGAAGGACAAAGTGATAATAATGCTAAATATCTACTAAAAACTATGTTACTTAAGATATAGAGACTGATCTACAACGCTAAATATCTTGTTTCTTTGGACCTCTGATCTCTTCTTATAAGGTTAAACTTTCACAAAGTGTCTTTTATCTTTAAAGCTGTGCTTAAAAGTCTACTGCCTTTGTTTGTATTGGCAACATTTAGAAAACAATACTGGTATATGGGGATTATGAATATCAAGTTATAGTTTGTATCCAAATATCATGTCACATTTGACCTCTCATCATATTTCTCCATATTTCTCCATTTTACATTTACAAATGACCTGTTATCGATTAGCTACTCCCATATAATGGTTGTATAATCAAAGTAAACATCCTTCATATATAGTCATTGATTAATTGTTGTTTAATAAAGGTGATTTATTATTATTACCTTCAAGTAAAATGTGCATGTGATTAAACAGTATGATGATCCTATTTCTAACAAGATGGAGCACTGTTTAAAAAAAAAACAAAAACAGAACTCTGACTCTGAATAACTTTACATTTAATTAAAAGTAGAACAAAGGTAACATATCAAATATGCAAACTATCAGTGTTTGTTGTTTGTAAAACAAATATCTAGTACTGTTTAAAAGTCTCAAGCTGCTGCTCATTTCTTTATGGTTTGCTGGGTAAATGGGAAATAGGTGCAAGGATTAAGTGAAATAGATACATGGACATATAGTGTATATGGTAAAAACATAGCTTGTAAAATTTTAATGAGCCTGAAAGTTAATATTTGGTATGACTGCCTTTATTCTTCAACAAAGAATAAACTCTGTTAGGCAAGCTGCCTTGTAATTTTTTTATATAGTCTTCAGGAATAGTTC